TGGTCAAGTGCCCCTGGGTTCAATCCCCAGTAAACAAACAAACTCCAAGGAAGAGCACTTTGAAGGATCCTTTATCAGGAGAGATGAGAAGAGGAAATGGGCCAGATCTGGTGATCTTTTCTCCCCTAGCATCCTCACTTGGCTGGTCCCTCTCCTTCTCTGGCCAGCCCAGGACCTCCGCCTCCCCCATCGACAGCCTGGAATGGAGGCATCGCACAGGCCTCTGACACACATCTGGTCTCAAGTCTGCCTTGGAAAGGCAAGTTCTGGAAAAGGAGGTGGAACAGCATGTTGGGGCCATCCAAGGCCATTCTGGGGCCAGCCAAAAGGCAGGCTGCAATTTGGAGCCCTGGCTTAATCAAATCCTCACTAACCCATTCCACTAATTCAGAATCTGTCAGTTTTGACATTGGCTACGCTCAAGTTGCTATTATAGAGTCCATGAAATAAAGAGTTTCTTAAGCCAATGAATAGAGGAAATTCTACTGACTTCTGGTGGTCTCTCTGGGCATGGTGTCTAGGCCACCCCCGATGTTCTGAGCACCTCCGCAAACAGATGCTGCTAACCGCACATGGCTTTTGTCTTCATCAAAGTCTGTTTTTCAGTCTGTGCTCAAAACATGCCCAACAGTTTATGGAGGAAAGTAATGGTAAGAAGAACTCTGGTGGTTCTCACCATCTTCTCTCAACCCCAGGAGGGAGACAGTGAGGCTTCAAACCTGCTCAGCACAGCGGGGAGGGAAAGGCCTGCTGCCTGGGCTCCACGTGGGTCTTGATTAGTGAGGAACCAAAGCCCACTCCTCACATGGCCCCAGGCGGGGAAGAGCCATGCTTGGGTATGAAGACAGAGATGCCACCCATTCTGGGTTTGGACAGTGGAATATCCATGGAGATAACAGGATCTGCAGACCAGAGGGCTCTGCCTGAAAATCTCATTCAAGCCGTACTTACTTGGGGCTCGCTGTTATTGGCAGCTCTACCTAACCCAAGCTTATTCCCCACTTGCAGGGTGGAATATCAGACTTAGAGGAACCTGGCCTCTTCGCCACAGAAAAACCTTCATTTCCCAAAACAGAGGTTTCGTTTTATTTCACGGAGGCCCATTTTATTTTTATTTTTGCAGTGCTGGGGGCGGAACCCAGAGCCTTGCACACACTATGTGGCCCACTTAAAAATCCAATGAAGGCCAGAGAGAGTATCCCAGAAAAACACACGAATGAGAATGTGTCCCACTTGCGTCTCACTGTTCCATATACAAATTTATGAGCTCCCAGACCCCCTAAAGGCGATGCTCACTCCCCATACTAAACTCAGATAAAAGAGGAATGCAATTTCCAAAACACGCCCAAACACAAGTGGCATCAGGCTCTGTTCTCACACTGAGTCACAGCAGAGCAGAGGACAGGGTCTCTGCTGTACCCATTCCTTAACAAGAGAGCCCCTGGGCTTGGGGGTTCACAACCCACGGTGGGGAGAAGGCAGCTGAGCAGGGCAGTAGGACTCCCTCCATATCAAAATTGCCTGCAGGGCAGAAAGGGAAGCCAAACTGCCCCGTGGAAGAGGCACCATCCTGGTCAGACAATGGATGGGTGAAAGTTTGTCAAGTGGTAGAAAGGGTTAGGTGGAGAATATTTTCTACAAGGAAACTGTGTCACAAAGATGTGGCCAGCCCATGGCATACTTGGAGAACGCAGGGTACATGGACAAGGGCTGCCTGGGAAGAGCATAGCAGGTAAAGGGAGGGTTTGGAAATGTGCCAATATGCTGCGCCCTGCTGCGCAGGGCTCTGAATGCCATTCCAAGGGTTTCTGCCTTGATCTTGTAGCAACAGAGAGCCAGAGGGTGGTATGACCAGATGTAGCAGCCACAAGAATAGGGGATGGAAGGCGGGGAGACAGGGGGCAGGAAGCACCAGGCAGGATCTAGGGGTCAGGTACCAGCTTTCACCTGGCAGGTAGGCCCAGCAGCACCGGGGACACAGACTCCAGCAGCCTCTCCAGAGGCTGTGGGTTCCCTCCTACCTCTGCTGACTCCTCTGTTATTTCAGGTGGGCTGTGCTTCCTCCCTGCCCCCCCTGCCCTCTAGCCCTCCCCACCCTGTCCTGGCTCCCTCTAAAACAGGCTTTTATTCCTGAATCACAGAAGAGCCTCAGATGCAGATCCCTGGGGACCTGACTTCCTCTACTTCACCCTCATTCAACAGCTTGATCCAACGCACACTTCCTGAGATGGCCTTGCACAGCGTCCCAAGGGAGGCACAGTTGAAACAGACCAGCGCCTGCCCACACTGGATTCCTCCATGTACGCAGGGTGAGGAAGGGAAGGAAATAAAGCCCAGACCCCAAGAACTGTCCCCAGAGACAGCCGGTGTGCACATAGGGCTGTGGGTATCTGGGAGAGCCAAGAAGGAAAGAATTCCTTCCTCTGAGTGGGATGAGGGCAGGTCAGATTAAGAAAGCCTCCGTGGAGGCGTCCAGGATTTAAATTGAAGATCTGGGATGGCATTTTTCCTTTTATAGCTATGTGGCCACAGGCAAGTTGATCCACCTCTCTGAGCATCTGTATCCCCATTCAGAATAGCACAAATGTACAGACTTCACTCACCCTATTGTGGGGAAGAATTAATGAGAGGCTGTAAAATGTTGAGCCTGGGGATTAAAATCAGTATGGTGGGCAGACTCTAAAATGACCTCCTGGTATTAGGCCTTGACCTAGTGACCTGCTTCTGACCAGTAGACTATGGCAAAAAATGATCAATATTCAACATCTTGCTTGCCTCTACTGCTGTCTGGTTTGCCTGCTCAGGTGAAAACTTGCTGCTAGGTCGAGAGCCATCCTGAGGAGTGTCACAAGGCAAGGGACCAAGAGAACTCCTGGAGGAACTGCATCTTTCCAATGGTATGTGCCGGCTCCTGGAAGCTGATTCCCGCCCCCTGCCCCTCCATCACTGGAACCTGGGCTAACACCGCAGCCTGTGCACGACCTTGAAGCAGATGACCCAGATGAATCATGCTTTGACTCACAGAAACCGAGACAATATATTTATTGTTTTAAGCCATCAAATTTTGGGACAATTTATCAGACACATTAGCTACTTCCTACAATCAGGGTGATATGGAGACGGTAACAGCTGGCTGTCCAGGTGCTAACCAATCTTTAGAGCAGGTGCTAAGGGGAGTGTGGACCAGCCCCTGCAGGCTCTGGGAGTTCAGAGAGTTCTCATCTAACCTTTTCTGTGTGTCTTTTTGTATCTTTTTAAATTTTAGACCAGATACATTTATTCATGAAAAAACTATATAATTTTGCCTGTGGTCCCAGCTACTTCGAAGGCTGAGGCAAGAATATTGCTTGAGCCCGGGAGTTAGAGACCCACCTGGGCAACACAGGGAGACCCCTATCTCAAAAATCAATGAAGGAAGCAAGTTATGTGTAATTTTATGAATGAAGATAATGAAAAGCATTCAGAAATAACAGAAATAACAGTTTGTAGAAATGGCACGTGTCTCAAAGGGGGAAGTGCCCAGGAAGGAACATTGGGGAGCGCTGTCACTATGGCCTGTGACTTTTTGCCACTAATTATAAAAGCCACATGAAAGTGCTGTGGTTGTGGCCTCTGACCTGTGATATACCAGTGTCACCTGCTCTTACCCCTGCACCATTTGCTATCATCCCAGGTGCTGCCAGATTGTGAAGGCCGGCAGGGAAGGCACTCTAACAAGGGACCACAGTCCCCACATGCCTGACACTGAGCCAAACACCATGCACTGCTGCCTTCATCATCACAGGAACTGTGGGAGGCAAAGTGCCACTCTCCTACCCGATGACACAGATCAAGCAAGAAACAGAGAGGTCAGTGACTTGCCAGGGGTCACACACCCGTGGAGAGTTGGACTCTAGCCCGGGCTTCTGCCTCTGAGCTGACACGCTGTGCCGACAGCCTGGAGTATAGAAGGTGCTAGACAAAGACTTCTAACAAAGCCCTGGTCCTTGCCCGCAGACTCAGGGGCAGAGGCTCTGTCAGGCTGAACCTCAAGCAGGACTATCTTCCTCTGTGTCTCAACTGAGCTCAGGGGACTTGATTGGCTTCCGCCAACACAGACGGGCCAGGACGCTGCTCCTAGAAGCCCTGGGTTGCACAGAATGTGGTGCCCGGCCCCTCTACAGGAAGGAGCCTTGGCAGGTGCTAGGCTCATCCTCACCCAGCCTGGTATGGCAAGGTGGAGCTCAGAATGTCCCCAGCCCCATCAGGCATTGAGTGGGAGGGAGAAGAACAGCAATGGCTTCTCCCCAGACCTGCCTAGGTTCCTGCAGGTCACATAGTGGGACTTTGGTACACACAGCTCAGCAAAAGAGGCCAGGCCAGAGAGTCTCTGGGTCCAGGGTCATGAAGCAGTGGGTGACACACCTACAGCCTCCTGGGGAGTGTGAATCAGACCCTTGTGGATACTGGCTGGGGGTCTGCAGTAGGAGAGAAGGAGCTGTGGTTCCTGGAGATGTCAGCACAGGAGGAGGACCCGGGAGGAAGCACCCCTCTAGTTACTCCCCCATTTTACAGATGAGACAACTGAGACTAGAGGGGAGATGTGGTTTACCAAAGGACAGAGGTCACTGTGGTGTGGCTGAGGCTGGATCCCATGTCTCCTGAAACTCCTGAGAGCCCTTGACTCACCGGGGGCGGAAGCCATTCTGGTTGTGCTCTGGGAGGCTCAAAAACCCTCCCCTGGTGTCTCTGGGGATTTCCCCAAAGCAACAGATGCCTGAGTCGAAGGCTCTGGCTCCTTCCCCTCCACCAGACCATTGCCTCCCACTGGACATTTGGTTGGAAAAAATGGTTCCTCTGCTGTGACCAGAGAAGCGCTGGGGTTCATCGTGCCCCTTCTCCCCTTGGCTGCCAAGTCTCTGCCATCCTTCACTCCTCCCAGAGCCAACCCCACCGGCCTGGCTTCCAGCTGAGCTGGGTCCTACCCTGCCCGGGTCTCTGCTGGATCCCTGGGGACTCACCTGGCACATCCAGGGATGGGTTGACAATCATGAAGGCGTCTGACAGGCCTGCTTTGACGGGGTGCTGGGAGGAGCTGATCTCCAGGACGGACATGGGGATCTGCAGTGGGGAGAAGAGGC